TCGGCGCGCTGCGCTACGAACCTGGCGACCCGGGTTCGATTCCCGCTCACGGCCAACACCACAGTGACGATTATCTGAACCGGTCCTGGGCCTCCCCTAGGTCGACTCAGCCTCAAATGAGTACCTGGTGCGATATGTATAGAACATCGGTACTGGGGAGACAAAGGCGGTCGGGCCGTGGTGCTGGCCACCCAAAAGTCTGTCAAGGCTATACGGGGATTCTTTGTATATGTGTGTGTGTGTATGTATGTGCGTCTGTCTGTGTTGTTGTATGTTCTACACGTGTGTGTATCTGGTCATCACAGTTTTTCCAATACTTCACATATATAGAGACAATTTTAAATGCTTCATACATGAAAGTGGGGTTTCAATTTACGTTAGCCGGCTTTCTCGGGGGGTTATTTCTTGCAGCGTCGACAGACCTGGCACGGACCGAGGCAATGCCGGTGAGGGTCGCCTCGTTAACCAGTCTGGCGCGTGTGGAGGACACGCAGGCGCGCGCGTGTTTATTGATGAGCTCACAGAGACAAAGGTCCCCCGTGTGGCCTCGACGCAAGCTGCTCGGGCAAGTGCTGCTCACGAGCACGAAGCAACGGAGCTTCGCAGTGGCAGGATGCGAACTGCCTCGCCTGGTCTGCGGGAGGTCGTGGGTTGGGTCCCGACCCTGACACCTGCTGTATATTTGTAGTTTGCGTGTCTCTCTCTCGTCATCATCATCACGGTGGGGGGATGCTAACTGCCTCGCCTGGTCTGCGGGAGGTCGTGGGTCTGGTCCCGACCCTGACACCTGCTCTAGATTTGTAGTTTGCGTGTCTCTCTCTCGTCATCATCATCACAGTGGGGGGATGCGAACTGCCTCGCCTGGTATGCAGGAAGTCGTGGGTCTGGTCCCGACCCTGACACCTGCTGTATATTTGGAGTTTGCGTGCCTCTCTCTCTCTCTCATCATCATCACGGTGGGGGGATGCTAACTGCCTCGCCTGGTCTGCGGGAGGTCGTGGGTTCGGTCCCGACCCTGACACCTGCTCTATATTTGTAGTTTGCGTGCCTCTCTCTCTCTCTCATCATCATCATCACAGTGGGGAGATGTTAACTGCCTCGCCTGGTATGCAGGAGGTCGTGGGTTCGGTCCCAACCCTGACACCTGCTCTAGATTTGTAGTTTGCGTGCCTCTCTCTCTCTCTCGTCATCATCATCATCACGGTGGGGGGATGCTAACTCCCTCGCCTGGGATGCGGGAGGTCGTGGGTTCGGTCCCGACCCTGACACCTGCTGCTGTATATTTGGAGTTTGCGTCTCTCTCCCCGTGGATTTTTCTCAGGGTCCACCGGTTTTTTCCCTTCACATTTAGAATCGACATCACGCGTTTGGAGTATTTGGCTGCTCGAAATTTCCACACGATGACGATGAGCCACTTCGTTTAGCTATCGTTTGTGACAGACAGGTCGCTTGCGAACTAGAGGGCCGAACCTGGTATCATAAACAAATAGTTTAGTTTTAGTTGAACGGCGGTGCGGTGTGGGTAGCGCCACGTCCCAGTTGCCTTCGTCTCCCCCGGTGCCGGTGAGATCAACCACCACCACCACCACAACCACAACCACCACAACCACAACCACCACAACCACAACCACCACCACAACCACCACCACCACCACAACCACCACAACCACCACAACCACCACCACCACCACCACCACCACCACCACAACCACCACAACCACCACAACCACAACCACCACAACCACAACCACCACAACCACCACAACCACAACCACCACAACCACCACAACCACAACCACCACAACCACCACAACCACAACCACCACAACCACCACAACCACCACCACCACCACCACCACAACCACCACCACCACCGCAGCAGCAGCAGAGGCCCAGGGAGGCCCAGGAATGGTTCGGATCCCGCTCGCCACCGATGTGAGACGTGGCCAGAAATCCAACTTGCGTCCACACAACGACGGTGGTGCCCTGACCAGCACGCCACCGCTCGCCCACACATCACAATCAGAATGTTTATTTATGCTGCGCTGGAGGTATCCGATGAGCTATAAAGTTAACACGATAGTTGTGCAGAGTACAAGAAAGGTAAACAAATGACCTAAACACAAACAAATACAACACTAAACCATCCCAATCCTACCAGGCAAAGCCCGCTTATGTATTCACTTATTTTTCAGAAGCGACCTGGCCACAAATGATCGCTCTACAAAGCGGGGCCATCATTTTGGACATTTATAGCACCGAAATGATCTAAATAGTCTCAACGTATGTTTCTAAATGTTTCGGGGAAAACCGGAGGAACCCGGAGGAAAAAAAAAATCCACGTGACCACGTGCATGCTTGCATACGAAACAAAGCCAAAGATCCCCCATACAGCCACAGCAGACTTTTGGGGGCAAGTGCTGTTGGCGAGCACCTGTGAAGGCCTGCACGGCGCGCGAGGAAATTGACTGCTGCAAACGCCACGCTCGGCCGCCTTTGTCTCCCTCGTGGCGATGATTACGTTGGATGATCTGGGGCTCGTGTCACGTGCCAGGCGAATGTGGACGATTAGCATCGATGACAACAACAACAACGATAACAACTCCTTGTTGCAAGCGCCGTTGCATCTCAGGACGCTCTAACTATGTCGCCGGGCAACGCTCCGAGCCGACCCACCAGATCGCCTTGTTCACGGACAGCGAAAGCAAAGAGGTCCGCCATGCAGTTCGCTTTCTCAGGAACGACCGATGGTGCTTGGCGCAATGCGCAGGTGGTTGAGCGATTCCTTGCGCACGTCACTGCCACGGACTGCCCTTTGCTGACGGTGTTCTCGCGTCCTTTACCTGCGGAGTTGATTTGGTAGACCTCCACCACCTCCCCCCCCCCCGCAACTTTGAGAGTGGTGCTGGTCGTTGCTGGCCGCATGGCGTGTTGACCCTTGATGGCCGTGTGCTCAAGCAATGGTGTAAAAACACGCACACCCACACGCACACCCAACACTCGCACACGCACACCCACACACACACCCATACCCACACGCACACGCACACCCACACGCACACGCACACCCACACGCACACACGCACACGCACACCCACACGCACACCCACACGCACACCCACACGCACACCCACACGCACACCCACACCAACACGCACACTCACACGCACACGCACACACGCACACTCACACTCGCACACGCACACCCACACACACACCCATACCCACACGCACACGCACACCCACACGCACACCCACACGCACACGCGTGCCTGGTAGATTTAAACTCGAAATACCGGAACACACAACGGGGTACATTGGTCAAGTGGGCAAATGTACCAACAGAAGGTGACCTCCCCTACCTATAGGTCAATAGTTCTCAATTTGTTTGGCATGGCGCCCACGTCCCCTCCACGTGTCATCCCCTACCCTCGTCCCCTACCCTCGTCCCCTACCCCCGTCTTCTCCACGCTCGTGCCTCCTGGTTTATATTTTTCATTGCAGTGGAAAGAGAAGAGACGTGTCGCAGACATTCTCCCGCGCTCGTTTGGGATTTCTCCTGCACGTTAACCTCGCTGCAGCCTCCGTCCCCTCTCCCCAAAGCCGAGAGGCCGCCGCTTCACCGGCTAGGAACTGCGGGTGGAGACGGTCGGCAGAGGCCGCTCTCGACGCTTCCCTAGAGGGTCGGGGGAGCGGTCCCGAAATGTCCAGCATTTCAAAAAAGGGCCCAAAGTTAATACATTGACACGTGGACACGCACATGGACACGTGGACACGCGCACGCGGTGGCACATGGACACGCGCACACACACACACACATACCCTGACACTGATTCTCCCGCACGCACTGACACCGACACCCTCACACTCTATCGCGCCGCTCGCACGCTCTGGCTAAACAGTAATCGTCCCCCCCCCACTGCCTCCCGAGGCACGCCTCCCTCCGGCGGTGTTTTATCTGCTTAATAAGCTGTGAAGGGCGTGGAGCACACGCCACCACCACCGCCACCACCACCACCACCGCCGCCACCACCGCCACCACCACCGCCACCACCGCCACCACCACCATCACCGCCACCACCACCACCACCGCCACCACCACCACCACCGCCACCACCACCATCGCCACCTCCCCCAGCAGCAGCACTGTGTGTAGTAATAGGTTTTTACCCTTTCAACTGGTACAAAAACTAACACCTTTATACAAGGCATCATGTTTGCAATAACCACAACACAAGCAGTCAAAATGCAAACAAAAGGAAACAACTCTGATGATGATAATGATATGCACTGTCCTTGAAGTTGATTGGTCCACACCCGAGACAGCTTTTCTTGGAGCCTAGTCTCCATTGGTGTTGGACCAGATGACGCTAAAATGCGTACAACTCAAAGACAGCGCACTATCAGAGTATTGAGAGCTCGGGGTAAGCATTTACACTATGAGACCTCCTTTACCAGTTGCAAAATATAGTAATAGGTTTTTACCCTATCAACTGGTAGCACTGTGTGTGTGTGTTTGCGTCAATGTCTGTGTGTGCTCTTGCCCCAAACGTCTCTGCAGGCTATATGGAGGATCTTTGTCTGTGTGTACAGTTGAGTCAGTAGGAAGCACATGTGGTGCATCTACTCGTCATCTCAGTCGGTCTCCCACCTGGGTCTGTCTCGTTACCTCCCGCCAGGTGGTCTCATGGTGCACCTAGCCTGGCACAAGCGCCATGGTGATTTCACATCCGCTTGGTGGAGAACGGCGGCTGCTGTTGTTGTTGAAGGATGGCACAGCGGTTTACACGCTGCACTATGAAACCCAAATGTCTGAGTTGAGTTCCTGGACAAAGCGACCATCAGTGGTATTGATTGCGGCGGGATTGATGATGATTATGGTGTTGATGGTGATGGTGATGGGAATGATTTGGGTGATGAGTGCGATGATGGTTTGTGTCGCTCTCCGTCTCCCCCTCCTCGTCCTCCTCCTCTTCCTCCTCCTCTCCGCGCGCGCTCAGGTCTCGTGAAACTCGGTGTTCACTGCGTCACCACCAAGAAGGTTGCCATTAAAATCGTCAACCGGGAAAAGCTGAGCCAGTCTGTGCTCATGAAGGTCTGAATCGCCCGCTCGCTCACTCACTCACCTGCTCATTCGCTCACTTCTTTGCCCGTTCACTCAGTCACTCGCCCATCGCTCACTCACTAACTCGCCCGCTCACTGACCTGTTCACTCGCTCATCTTCTCACGCATTCACCCACTCGCTCGCTCGCACATACACCCGCTCACTCTCTGCCTTTTGGTATTTTCGGTCTGTGTGTGTGTGGTGGGGGGCATTGGCACAGCGGTTAGGGGCCATCCATTTAGTACGTACGCATGGAGGGGGGAGGTGGGTTAACCCAAATGCGTTCACTTGCGTATGGTGGTCTACTGACAATGTGCGTACGCATAGGAAACGGGGCGGGGGGGCGGTGAAGCCTCGATAATAATTTGTCTACATCGGCCTTCAAATGAGCCACAGTTCAGTTTATCCAGCTGTCGGGACAACAAGTTCTACCGGGAGAAGTGGGACTCTGGGAGAGGTGTCACTCGTGTGCCACCGTGCCCCCTGACTGCAGCTATCACGCAGCTCAGCAAAATAAGTGGCCAAGGTACGCAACTTAATTATTTAATGCAGCCGGCGGTGGACTATATCTGTTTGCTTAAACACGTTAATATAATTAATAATCCTTGATCGTTTCTGCGTGGATTAAATATCGGCCGTTCTATAGGATTCGGGGGGGGGGGGGTGCATCAGGCGTACGTACGCAGGTGGGGGGGGGGGGGTGTAAAAAGTACGCATGAGTACAGGGAGGGGGGGGAGGGGTCACGTTTTGACAGATTTTTGCGTACCTCCTAAACGGATGGCTCTCTTAGCACTATGGGCTACGAACCCGGTGATCCGAGTTCAATTCCCACTCACGGCCACCACCAGTGATGATTATCTGAACCAGTCCTGGGTCTCACCTAGGTCGACACAGCCTTAAACGAGTACCTGGTGCGGTGTGTAAAACATCAGCACTGGGGAGACAAAGGCGGCTGGGCGAGGTGCTGGCCACCCACCCCCTCGTGTGCCGTGCCAGCCTTCATAGGGCCTCCCTAACAACACTTGCCCCAAAAGTTTGTTAAGGCTACACGGGGGATCTTTGTCTTTGTTTTGTGCGTTTGTAGGTGGAGCGAGAGATTGCGATTCTGAAACTGATCGAGCATCCACACATCCTCAAGTTACACGATGTCTATGAAAACAAGAAGAACCTGTGAGTCCATCACCATCACCACCATCACCACCACCATCATCACCATCTTCACCACCATTACCACCATCACCATCACCACCATCATAACCAAAGACAAAGATCACCCGTATAGCCTTAACAGACTGTAGGGGCAAGTGCTGTTAGCGAGCACCTATGAAGACTGGAACGATACACGAGACGAGTGGGTGGCCAGCACCAAACCAGACCGCCTTTGTCTCCCCAGTGGCGATATTTACACACCGCACCAGATACTCATTATCTGATCCGGTCCTGGAGGCCCAGGACCAGTTCAGATAATCGTCATTGGTGTTGGCGGTGAGCGGGAATCGAACTCGGGTCGCCGGGTTTGTAGCGCAGTGCACTAACAGCTAAACTACCACCATTACCACCACCATCACCACCATTAACAACAACAACCGCCATTCACCACTAAGTGACGGTGACGTCACCACGGTGCTTGTGCCAGGCTATGTGCACGTTAAGGTCACGTGAAGTGTCGAACGCCCGCTGGAAGGAGGTCACGGGACAGACCCAGCAGGTGCCATGGGTCGACTGACTGAGATGACTTGCCGATACACCAGCTGTACCCCGTACTGTGCCAAATTGCTGTGTTTTAGCTGCCCGGCACTCTGCTCATTGTTGTTGAGCATCGCTCCTCTGCCCTCAGTTGTTGTTGGAGAGCGACTGCCTCCAACTGCCCAGTAGCGTCCTTCACGAGCCTCCTACACAGAGGCCGATCTTCATACACTGCTGGTACCAGTCATCGGCAATTCCACTCAGCTCTACATCCACCCGTACCGCATCAGTCCATCTCTTCTCCAGCCCGTGTCATGCCCATTTAGCCCTGTTTATGTGACCAAACAGAAACATGCGGTGGCTGGGCATGCGGTGGCTGGGCATGCGGGCTACATGACCCAGCAAACGCAGCCTTGCCTGCCGGAGGAGCTCACAGATGGGACTTTGTCCAGATCTTTCAAGGATTTGTGTGGGGGGGGGGGGGGGGGGTGGGAGCGCGTCATGCAGCAGTGGATAGACCACGTGGTGGTGTGGTGCACACATCTGCCGCAGGTACCTGGTGCTGGAGCACGTCTCTGGGGGCGAGCTCTTCGACTACCTCGTGAAGAAGGGGCGGCTCACGCCCAAAGAGGCGCGAAAGTTTTTCCGGCAAATCATCTCCGCCCTCGACTTCTGCCACAGCCACTCCATCTGGTGAGCACACACGCACGCACGCACATGTACACGCACGTGTACACACGCACGTGTACACATGCGCGCACGTGTGCGCACGTGTACACACGTGCACATGCACACACGCACGTAAGCGCACACACGCACGTAGACGCACGCACGTACGCGCACGTGTACACACGCACGTACACATGCATGCACTTACGCACGCACACACTTATGCGCACACACACATGCACACACGCACGTAGACACACGTACGCGCACGTGCACGTACACACGACTGTGTGTGCGTGTCTGTGGTGTTGGGAGCGATGGCAGCGGTTAGCGCGCTGCGGCGACCCGAGTTCGATTGCCGCTGACAGCCACAATATCGGTGGTGAATATCTGAAACTGGTCCTGGACGTCCCCTAGGTCGACTCGGCCTTAAATGTACACCTGCTCCCGTGTGTGCAAAATACATCACCATTGGGGAAACAAAGGCGGCCGGGCATGGTGCTAATCGCATCCGCCTCCTCGTGTAGCGCGTTGACCTTCAAGGTGTTCGCAGACGGCACTTGCTCCACGCAGGCAGTGTGGGCTGTATGGGGGATCTTTGTCTTTGTAGCTATTAAGAGTCCACACATCACGCCCCAGGCTGTTGCGTTGTGTAAATGATGATGAGTTGTTGTTGTTGTTGTTCCGGAGCGTAACGCTCGTGTTTACGCCCCTGAGCAGATTGCCGAGTCAATGGCATTTAAATTACCTTACCTGCAACAACCTCGTCCTCCACCACCAGCCCACCCCCTACACCAACCTCCTCCTCCACCATCAGCTCACCCCTACACCAACCTCCTCCACCACCAGCCCACCTCCTCCACCACCAGCCCACCCCCTACACCAACCTTGTCCTCCACCACCAGCCCACCCCCTACACCAACCTCCTCCACCACCAGCCCACCCCCGACACCAACCTCCTCCTCCACCACCAGCCCACCCCTACACCAACCTTGTCCTCCACCACCAGCCCACCCCTACACCAACCTCCTCCTCCACCACCAGCCCACCCCCTACACCAACCTCCTCCTCCACCACCAGCCCACCCCCTACACCAACCTCCTCCTCCACCCCCAGCCCACCCCCTACACCAACCACCTCCTCCACCACCAGCCCACCCCTACACCAACCACCTCCTCCACCACCAGCCCACCCCCTACACCAACCACCTCCTCCACCACCAGCCCACCCCTACACCAACCTCCTCCTCCACCACCAGCCCACCCCCTACACCAGGGGTCGGCAACCAAAATAACAAGAAGAGCCATTTCTTTCCAATTCGGTACAAAATTCAGTATTTCAAGAGCCGCAATGCATCTGTAAAGTAGTAACTCGGCAGGAGACGACTTCACGGGTAGCACACTCTTTATTTTCACCAACTTGTAGTTACACGGATGACTAACACCCTACTTCGTTACACGGGTGACCAACACCCACTTAGCTACACGGGTGACGGACACCCACTCAACTACAACTTCGTTACACGGGTGACCAACACCCACTTAGCTACACGGGTGACCAACACCCACTCAGCTACACGGGTGACCAACACCCACTCAGCTACACGGGTGACTAACACCCACTCAGCTACACGGGTGACCAACACCCACTCAGCTACACGGGTGACTAACACCCACTCAGCTACACGGGTGACCAACACCCACTCAGCTGTACTGACACGGGCTCTTACGCCCTGTAGCCTTCCGGGACACACCCAGCCGGGGTGCCCGTCTCGGCTCTGGGTACCACCGTCCCGACCCACACGGGCGTCGGACTACGGTCCCCCCAGTCTCGGCTCCGAGCCACACAGGGCCCCTACCTCCTCCACCCCGTCTTCGGTCTTCAACTGGTTAACACTGACCACGAGTGCTCTCGCGCGTCCCCCTTTATACCCCTCCTGCGGACGTCGCTGAGAGTACCCACTTATCTGACCAATCACTGCACACTCGCTACGATCCTCTTTTCCCAGCTTGTGTGAGCGCGCCTCACCACCGGCGCGCGCGTCCATGCCACGCCCACATCGCGTGCCCAACCCCGCGCCCCGTGATCCATCACTGCCGGCGCACGTCAATACCACCACTACATCACCCCCTACCACATAGCTCGCAGCCGACCCGGCTGCTAATAAAACATACAACACCCCTTCACCCCCACGTGTGCCCCGTAACATAACACAAACCCTAACAACACAACATGAACACCGCAATCCGCAAAACCCAGCAACCGCCACACCCGCAACAAGAACAACATGCACAATCCGGCGAATGGCAACGATACTGTGTATGCGGAAAGAGTAACAATAAAAAAAATTTCTTTAATCATTTTCTCTTCTTTTCTCTCCGACTCATGCAGCGTCCCAATGTCCGAGCGTCCCTTGAACGGGACATTACCCCGGCAGAGGGGGAAGCCGGCAACGAAGTCGGGCTTTAACAAAAAAAAGAAAAACATTTTTTTTTCTTTTTTTTTTTCATGAAAAGTGTTGCGTCCTTGCCCGAGTCCGCCTTGCCGGACCGTCGTACGGCACAGGACGCAGTTGGCCATCCGGCGGCGCCGGCCGTTCAGGAAGGCATGGGCCAGGCATCGGGGCTCCGCGCGAGCCGCGGGGTTCCGGTTCCCGACGGTCAACAGCCGTCAGGTCCGAGACACCTGGGGGTGGGTCAGGTGGAGACACGTGAGGATCAACCTGCGACACATCCCTCCCCGAGTCGACGGTCACATCACACGCTCGGTCGTCACGGCACAACCCGGGGTCACGCGGCGCCGCGTAGGGTTTCAGTCGGGAGGGGTGCACGTACCAACGGCGTTTTCCCCATTTAATCTGTATACTCTGGGGTCGTGCAACCCGCACAATTTCCACCGGTCCCCTCCATGGTCTCAACAGTTTGGGGGACGTAGCCAACGGTGCGTGTGGACAATGCAGCCAGGCCTTATCGCCCGGTTCCCAATTGTGCGTATGCACCTTCCGTTCATGCAATCGCTCGTTCGCGATCTGCCGAGAGCGTGAATTCAATCTCGCAGCCTCTCGCGCCTCAGCCAATTTGGCAATGTTAAACTTAATGTGGTCTGCCAATTTTGATTTAGCACGTGGCTGTGAAATCCCCAGTTGGACGTCCATGGCCGGATCAGCCTCCCGCCCATACATCAGAAAAAATGGAGAAAACCCCGTCGCCGCATGGGGTGCCATCCGATAGGCCGCTAGTACCCCCGGTACCTGTAAGTCCCAATCCACCTGGTCGTCGCATACCTGTTGGCACAGCATAGACGTAATTGTCCTGTTCAGACGTTCAACCATACCGTCAGTCTGCGGGTGGTACGGGGAGGTACGTACTTTTTTTGTACCCAACAGGTCGCACACCTCGCGCAACAAAAAACTCGAAAAGTTTTTCCCTTGATCCGTCAGCAAGCGTTCGGGGGCGCCTTTGTCCAAAACATAACCTTGGACAAAGGCGTCCGCCACTGCCGCAGCCGACTGGTTGGCGAGTGGCCACGCCATGGGCCAGCGGGTGAAGTACTCTACGCCAACCAGCAGGAACTTATTTCCCCGAGGTGTAGTGGGAAAGGGCCCCAAGATGTCTAGCGCGACCAATTCGTTCGTGCGCGAAACTTGAATGGATTGAAGCGGTGGATTAGCCGCTATTGGTGGCGGTTTTCTTTTAGCGCACCCTACACACCCCTTAAGAATGTTCGCCACGTCACTGCCCATCCCAGGCCAATAGTAGTCTCGCTGAATGAGGGCGAGCGTTTTGTGAAACCCCAGATGCATGAGTCGTTCATGGGCAGCCAGGACGACCTTCCCCCGTACAGCAACCGGCACCACAAGCATGTGACGCCGGGACATGGAGTCCCACTTCATCAAGAGGCCCTGTCTGCACACCCAGGAACCGACCCGCGTTTCCCCGCCCTCGGGAACGTTAACCTTCCGACGTAGCGCGAGTAGGGAGCTGTCGGCCATTTGCAGACGGCCCCACTCGATGAGAGGCAATGCTAACAGCGAGTCCCTCCCCGTGGGGGCGTCGACCCCCGTAGTATCCGTGGCGGCGAGCACAACTTCCGCGGGGACAGCGACAGAAGGTTTACACCGCGCCGATCCCAACTGACATGCGCATTCCGTACGCGTCGGCAACCGTGACAATGCATCCGCATTCGAGTGGCGCAACCCCTTGCGGTAAATCGTCGTGAATTGGTAGTCCTGAAGGACCTCCAACCATCGGGACAATTGGCCGGATGGCTGCGCCACCCGCATAGCGTATTGGAGAGCCGCATGGTCCGTGCGAACCGTAAAGTGACGGCCATACAGATACGGCCTGAATTGCTGTATAAAAAACACAATCGCCAGCAATTCACGCCGTGTCACGCAGTAGCGTTGTTCCGCGGGGGACAGAACCCTGCTACCGTAGGCGACCACCCGTTCGACCCCCCCGACCACCTGTGAGAGCACTCCCCCGATACCCATGTTACTGGCATCCGTGTCGAGCACAAACGGTTGCGTGAAATCGGGGTAACACAAGGGGGGAGCCTGCACCAAGGCGTCACGAAGGGAGCAGAACGCGGCCTCCTCCTCCGGCCCCCAGTGAAACCGCACCCCTTTAGCCGTCAAGGCGTGCAGGGGCCTGGCTATGGTGGCAAACTGTTTGACAAAACGACGGTAATAGGAGGCAAATCCTATGAAGCTGCGGACTTCAGTAACAGAGGTCGGTGTTGGCCATGAGCCGACGCATTGCGTCTTAGCAGGGTCCGTCGAGATCCCCGAACGGCTAACGATATGGCCCAAATACCTGACCGATTCCCGAAGCAAAAAACATTTAGCCGGTTTAAATTTAAGCTTCGCGGAACGCATCCTGAGAAACACTGCCCTCAGTCGCTGGAGGTGCTCCTCAAAAGTTCGGCTGAAAACGATGATATCATCGAGGTAAATCAAACAGGTGTCCCATTGAAGGCCTGACAAAACCAATTCCATGAGCCTCTGGAACGTGGCAGGAGCGGAATGTAAACCCATGGGCAATCGGTTGAACTCAAATAGGCCTCCCGGTGTCCGGAAAGCGGTTTTAGGTTTTGATTCGTCATTGAGGGGCAATTGCCAAAATCCCGAAAGCAAATCGAGCGTCGAAAAAAACTGTGCTCCTGCCAAGGCATCCAGCGACTCATCCATCCTGGGGAGCGGATACGCATCGGCCATTGATATTTTGTTTAGGCGGCGGAAATCAACACAGAACCGCAGGGATCCATCCTGTTTTTTAACCAAGACGATAGGAGCACCCCACGGACTGGAAGAGGGCGCAATGATGTCGGCCGCCAACATGTCATTTACTGCCGACTGCACATGCTCCTTCTCGGCTGGACTGAGCCGGAAGGGATTCTGTCGAATAGGGGCCGCGTCCCCAGTCTCTATGTGGTGGCGCAACAGGTCTGTGCAGCCAATGTCGTACTTGTGCCTGCTAAACACGTCAGCGAACTCGAGCAGCAAGCCCCTCAATGCACCCAACTGCACACTGGACAAGGTACTGGACCCGGCACACAACGCGTCCAACCACTCCGTCCCCTCCTCACTTTGGGGATGCGTATCGACATGTGAATCGGCGTGAGCAACGAGCTGTTCCTCGACGGGTAGCGGCGCGGCGTGAGCGAGCACCGTTCCCTGCGTAATCACGGCCGGCCGCGACCCCGTATTCAGGACCACAACGAACGGCTCACTGTCCCCCCTCACCATGGTCTGGGCCACCGCTAAGCCGAGGTCCCCTTTAGCCCTGTTAGACGGCCCCAATAGAACTCCCTGCGCCCCCGCATCCGCCCCAAGGGGTTTTCTCAACCGAAGGGGTACCAACATTTGCGATCCCGGGGGCACCCGTACAGTCCGGGTTGCCAGCGCCTGCACCGTCGCACAAGCCGTGCGTATCTTATTTGGACTCTTCAAAAACTCAACCCGCCGACCCGACGGAAGCTCAATGCAGGCCTGGTCTATGAGAATTTTTATGGGCATTTTAGACAAAGTCCGTGCCTAGTAAACAAGGAACGGCCAACGATGATGATACAAAAATAGGACCCGCCAATTTAATGTCGCCAATACAAATATTCGCCCGAATCTGGCCGATGATTCCCAAAGATCCCCCGTTTGCCGCGTAAAATGGTACGTCCACCGGCAGAAGTGGTCGACATTGTACGGGAAGAATATTATAAATAAGGTCCGAAATAATAGTGGCCGACGCACCCGTGTCCACGAGCACCCGGACCTCAACCCCGTCAATGTACCCCGTTACCACGGACGACCCGGCCAACGCAGCCACAATCCTGTGGGCCAATTCGGACCACTCGACTGCCTTCGGGCCGTACGCGGACCCCTCTCGCCGAACCGAACCCCCGGCGCCCATACACGGTCCCCCCACCGCTAAGCGGCGACCCGAACGTGCCGTGCGTGTGGACCGAACGTGTGAGGTGCCGCGACTTGCCGGGTTCAGTTGGGATGTCTTGAGTCCCTGGTCGTCGTCCGGACGTGGTCCCGCGGTGCGTTGACGCGGGGCCCGGCACCCGGCCGCGACGTGGCCCCGAAGGCCGCAGTTGTAGCAGACGACGAGGGACGTCGTAGGTTTCGGTTGCTCCAGCTTGCGGGAGGAGCGTGTGGGCGAACGACCTCCCGGTCTCCACTCCCCCGGCCTCGAACCAGCGAAGGCCTCCTCCCGAGGCACAGCAGGCTGAGGTCCGATGATCGTGGCGGCCGGTGCCCCGTTCTCCACCGATGCGCAGACGACCGTCGGCTTCCGCTGTAGGACCTCGTAAGCGTGGATACTCGTGGCAATCCCCAGGGAGCAGATGTCCATCTCGTCCGCCGTATTAATGGGAACTCCCAATCCGTGAGCCAGCGCCAGCAGCTGCTCCGTCACCATGGCGTCCTTCCCCTCCTTGTCCATGCGGGGAAAAGCTGAATCCGCCAGGGCGAGCAGCGCCGTGCGATAGGCGAGCGTTGTTTCTCCAACCACCTTCCGCCGATCGTAGAACTGGTGGCGACAGGTCGAGGGCGGCCCGAACACCTTGGCCAACAGGTGCAGCGCGGCCTGGAGCGTTGAGCGGGACGACCTCGGGGCAGACGTGAAGGCCGCAAGCGCGTCGTCGTCGAGCATCGCTGGCAGCGCGCGCAGGGCAGTGGTGTCGGACCACCCCGACATTTCTTGATGCGCGATGAACCGTCGCTGGAAGGCTCCCCAGTCGCCCCCGTCCGCCTTGAACACCGACAGCGCGGGCAATCGTTGCTGGAGAACTCGATCGTCGTCGTCGTCGTTGGAACGATTTTCCCGCGCGCCGCTGTGGTTGTAGAAAATGTCGGCTCCCTCTGCAGGCGCAAAATGGAGAGCTCCGGCGCTCGCCGATGACGCGGGCTGCGCTGTGTGGAGACCTCTGGCCACGTGGTGTCCGCGTTTCCCGCCAACCGGAGGCGGACCCTCAAAAATGGCGCCAACTCCCAAACTTTTGGCGCGAAACGCCTTATGGCGGGAACCCTCCAGTCGCGCCGCCTCTTCCAACCCCGCAGGCGTTCCACCGGCCACTGGAACGGAGATCTCCGCCAAGATCGCAGCGGCGGCGAGCAGCAACTCCGCCAGGCGGGAGTGTGCATCCTGCAGGCTGGTGTCGGAGGCGGGCGGAGCATCGGCCATTTCCGCGAAGTGCTGCATCGGCGGCAACTCCTCGTCCTCTCCTCCCGAGGGTGGTGTCACCGGTACGTCGTCGTCTCCCCGGTCTTGCACGTGGGAACGAGAAGTCTTCCTTGTGTCCATTCTCCTTGAAGACAGGTTTACTTCTGACGCCAGTTGTAAAGTAGTAACTCGGCAGGAGACGACTTCACGGGTAGCACACTCTTTATTTTCACCAACTTGTAGTTACACGGATGACTAACACCCTACTTCGTTACACGGGTGACCAACACCCACTTAGCTACACGGGTGACGGACACCCACTCAACTACAACTTCGTTACACGGGTGACCAACACCCACTTAGCTACACGGGTGACCAACACCCACTCAGCTACACGGGTGACCAACACCCACTCAGCTACACGGGTGACTAACACCCACTCAGCTACACGGGTGACCAACACCCACTCAGCTACACGGGTGACTAACACCCACTCAGCTACACGGGTGACCAACACCCACTCAGCTGTACTGACACGGGCTCTTACGCCCTGTAGCCTTCCGGGACACACCCAGCCGGGGTGCCCGTCTCGGCTCTGGGTACCACCGTCCCGACCCACACGGGCGTCGGACTACGGTCCCCCCAGTCTCGGCTCCGAGCCACACAGGGCCCCTACCTCCTCCACCCCGTCTTCGGTCTTCAACTGGTTAACACTGACCACGAGTGCTCTCGCGCGTCCCCCTTTATACCCCTCCTGCGGACGTCGCTGAGAGTACCCACTTATCTGACCAATCACTGCACACTCGCTACGATCCTCTTTTCCCAGCTTGTGTGAGCGCGCCTCACCACCGGCGCGCGCGTCCATGCCACGCCCACATCGCGTGCCCAACCCCGCGCCCCGTGATCCATCACTGCCGGCGCACGTCAATACCACCACTACACATCTATGTACATACTGTACATACGTACATATCGTCAAGAAGCAGCCCGTAAAGAGCCGCATGCGGCTCCGGAGCCGCATGTTGCCGACCCCTGCCCAACACCAACCTCCACCACCAGCCCACCCCCTACACCAACCTCCTCCTCCACCACCAGCCCACCCCCTACACCAACCTCCTCCTCCACCACCAGCCCACCCCCTACACCAACCTCCACCACCAGCCCACCCCCTACACCAACCTCCTCCTCCACCACCAGCCCACCTCAAACTTGTGCCCGTTGTCAATCATCATCAGCAGCAGCCATTGGGGGAGTGGGTGGGGGGGTTGGTGGGGAGGTTGGTGGGGGGGGAGGGGGCACGGGCCCCCCCCCTCCTTCCCCAGTGATTGACACCGCGAGGGAGCAGCGGCAACAGGGGAGGGCATTCGGTGGCGCAGGACACAGCCGCGCCAGCGCGGGCTCCCCGGTTACCACCGTGGGAGACAGCGTCCCCCACGCAGGGTCCGCTCGGCACGACAAGCGCGACAGGGCGCACGGTGGCGCCGGAGCCCACGAGCGGCTTACGGCGGTGCAGGCGACTCCTAACGGCGAGAATAAAAGCGCGTCTTACAATTGGGGGAGCGCGGCGTGCAGTGACGCGTGCGGTGACGTGTGCGGTGACGCGTGCGGTGACGTGTGCGGTGACGTGTGCACTGACGCGTGCGGTGACGCGTGCGCTAACGCGTGCGGTGACGCGACCGCTGTCGTCGCCAGCCACCGCGACCTGAAGCCGGAGAACCTCCTGCTGGACGAGAAGAACAACATCCGCATCGCCGACTTCGGCATGGCGTCGCTGCAGGTTGGAGACAGCCTGCTGGAGACGAGCTGCGGGTGAGCGTCACCGCCACCGCCACCGCCACTACCACCCCCACCCCCGCCGATACCGCCAATGCCACCACCACCACCAACCACGACCACCACCAACCACAACCACCACCAACCACAACCACCGCCACCGCCACCACCCCCACTGATACCGCCAATGCCACGACCACCAACCACGACCACCACCAGCCACCACTACCACCACGACCACCACAACCACCACAATCAAAGATCCTCCGTATCGCAAGTGCTGTTCGCAACCACTTATGAAGGCCAGCACAGCACACCATTGGGTGGGTGGCCAGCACCACGACCGGCCGCCTTTGTCTCCCCAAGTGGCTATGTTTACACACTGCACAGGTCCTCTTTTGAGGCCGAGTCGACCAAGCGATGGCCCAGGACGAGTTCAAATATTTCGTCAATGTGGTGTTGGCCGTGAGCGAGAACCGAAATTCGGGTCGCCGGGTTCATAGCGCAGCGTAGCGCTAACCGCTGCGCCACCGCTCCCCACGGCGTGAGCGAGCGGCTCCACCTCGGCCTGGCTCAAGTGAAGCCATGGCTCGCTCGCTTGAGCCAGAGAGCCACGTGCTCCGTGTTCGTGTGACCATGTGACCGTGTGAGTGTGTGACCATGTGACCGTGTGTGTGTGTGGTATCTGTGCCGTGTGTCCAGGTCTCCTCACTATGCCTGCCCAGAAGTTATTCGGGTAAGAGTCACACACACAGAAAGACAAAGATCTCCCGTGTAGCCTTAACAGACTGTTGGGGCAAGTGCTGTTAGCGAGCACCTATGAAGGCCGGCACGGCACATGAGGGGGTGGGTGGCCAACAGCACGCCCGGCCGCCTTTGTCTCCCCAGTGACGATGTTTACACACCACACCAGGCACTCATTTGAGGCGATTTAGGGGAGGCCCAGGACCAGTTCAGATAATCGCCACTGTGGTGTTGGCCGTGAGCGGGAATCGAACTCGGGCTGCCAGGTTCGTAGCACAGCGCGCTGCCGCTCTCCACACACACACACACTCGCTCGTACGCAAACACCGCACACAAAGACAAAGATCCCCCGCATAGCCTCTAATAGACTTTTGGGGGCAAGTGCTGAAGGCCAGGGTAAGACACACGAAGGCTGGCACAGCACACGAGGGGGTCGGTGGCCACGGAAAATGCAACGTAAATGTCAGTTAGCTTGCAGAACGCCATTGGGGGTGGGTGAAGATGACGACTGCCTTGTCGGTTCACCTTTCGACGTGTTTACCGTTGACCCTCGACGAGTGAGGAGCAGCCAATGATAAGATGAGCCCCCCCTTGTCGATATATTTGGTATTGAATCCGCAAGCACGACTATTCCGAAGCCCGGGCAACCGAGAATTTGTCGTTGACATTTGCGGCTGGCCCTTTTATATTTTCAGGGGGAGAAGTACGACGGCAGGAAGGCGGACGTGTGGAGCTGCGGGGTCATCCTGTTCGCGCTGCTCGTGGTGAGGAAGCGGGCATCGCCACGGCGGCCACCATGACGACGGTTGCCGTGACGATGGTCGCCGCGACGATGACGACACCGTCGTCGCCCCCCCCCCCCCGGCCGTGTCTCCGTGACGATCGCGATGATCACCGAGGACGACGGCATCGACTGAAATGTTGACGACGACGTTGACGATGTCGCCCCCCTTTCCCGCAGGGCGCCCTGCCGTTCGACGACGACGACAATGACGCCTCCGTTGCCCCCCCCCCCCGGCCGTGTCTCCGTGACGATCGCGATGGTCACCGAGCACGAGGGCGTCGACGGAAACGTTGACGACGACGTTGATGATGTCACCCCCCCTCCTCCCCCACAGGGCGCCCTGCCATTCGACGACGACAATGACGCCTCCGTTGCCCCCCGGCCGTGTCTCCGTGATGATCGCGATGGTCACCGAGGACGACGGCATCGACTAAAACGTTGACGACGACGTTGACGATATCGCCCCCTTCATCCCTCCCCCGCAGGGCGCCCTGCCGTTCGACGACGACAACCTGCGCCAGCTGCTGGAGAAGGTGAAGCGCGGCGTGTTCCACATGCCGCACTTCATCCCGCCCGACTGCCAGGCGCTGCTGCGCGGGATGATTGACGTGGACGCCACCCGGCGCATCACGGTGGCCGCCCCCCTACGCATCCACCCCCCCACCTCCCTCCCCCCTGCCCCCCCCCGCCCCCCCACACCCTCACCCCCCCCCACACACCCTCACCCCCCCCACACCCTCATCCCCCCAACCCCACGTACCAGAGCTTGGGGAGGGGGGGCGGCCTTTATCCAGCAGTGGATAAGATCATGGCTCTTGATGATGATAAGATCATGGCTCTTGATGATGATAAGATCATGGCTCTTGATGATGATAAGATCATGGCTCTTGATGATGATAAGATCATGGCTCTTGATGATGATAAGATCATGGCTCTTGATGATGATAAGATCATGGCTCTTGATGATGATAAGATCATGGCTCTTGATGATGATAAGATCATGGCTCTTGATGATGACTATGACTGTGGTTTAACGAGTCTGGTTCTTTCTGTTGTGTCGCAGCTGGAACAGATACAGAAGCACACGTGGTTCCTCGCGTGAGTGACGCATCGCACGCAAGCGCACACACACGTGCACACACGCGTGTGCATAGTGTATAGTAGTGTATAGTGTAGTGTATAGTAGTGTATAGTGTAGTGTGTATTAGTGTATAGTGTAGTGTATAGTAGTGTGTAGTGTATAGTGTAGTGTATAGTAGTGTAGTGTAGTCTATATTAGTGTATAGTAGTGTGTAGTGTATAGTGGAGTGTATAGTAGTGCATAGTGGAGTGTATAGTAGTGTAGTGTATAGTAGTGTAGTGTATAGTAGTGTAGTGTATAGTAGTGTAGTGTATAGTAGTGTAGTGTATAGTAGTGTAGTGTAGTCTATATTAGTGTATAGTAGTGTGTAGTGTATAGTAGTGCATAGTGGAGTGTATAGTAGTGTATAGTGTATAGTAATGCATAGTGTAGTGCAGTGGTTCTTAACCTTTACTGCAGCCTTGCACCCCTTTAGTTCCTAGTCATGCATGTTGTTTGTATCATGTCAATAAATACGTGGGGGTTTGATGAAACAAAGTAGTTGTACACACTTGCCCGTGCTTCATTCGTGTTTTCGATGATTTACCGTAAAAAAAAAAAAATCTCGCGAGATGCACCGCCAGGTTAAGAACCACTGCTCTAGCGGAACAAACCGTAGGTGGAATATAAAAAAAATAAAAAATATATATACTAAAATAAAAAAAAATAAAAAAATATATGATAAAATATAAAATAAAATAAAACTAAAGGGGGTAAACGCTACGCCGGCACTGACCCTCGCGAATGACGTCGCCTGCCCCAACGGTCGTCAATCCTCAACCGCCGTCGCTCCCCACCGTCGCCGTTTTGCCGGCGCCGGCGGCAGCGGGTCGCGGAGCGAGCCCGAGCCCGAGCAGGCGGCGCCGCGCAAGGTGCCGATCGGCGCGCTGCCCAGCGCCGAGGAGATGGACCCGGACGTGCTGGAGAGCATGAACTCCCTGGGATGCTTCCAGGACAAGGACAAGCTCGTGTCGGATCTCCTCGCCCAGCAGTGAGTCGCCCCGGGGACTCGCACTTGCGGGGGGTTCATAATTGGGGTCCTGGGCAGGGCTTCAGGGATCGCTGTCACGGGGGTCACGGTCGGGGTTGTGAGGGTCATGGTCAGGTCCACGGTCAGGGTTGTGTGGGAGTCACGTGGTCGTGTCACTGCAGCGTCGTGTTGACACGCAACACCAAAGGGAATGCGACATTGAGTTGCACAGCCCTGATTGGCTGAGACTTGCCACGACCGCGGGGGGAGAGCCGTGACGACGGTGCTCACAGCTGCCCCCCCGAGGGCGCGTCAGCGAGGGGAAAGCTCTGACATCACAATGGGCGCTATGACATCACAATGGGGCGCTATGACATCACAATGGGGCTCTGTGACATCACAATGGGGCACTCTGACATCACAATGGGGCGCTATGACATCTCAATGGGGTGCTGTGACATCACAATGGGGCACTATGACATCACAATGGGGCTCTGTGACATCACAATGGGGCGCTATGACATCACAACGGGGCTCTGACATCACAATGGGGCGCTATGACATCACAATGGGGCGCTATGACATCACAATGGGGCGCTGTGACATCACAATGGGGCTCTGTGACATCACAATGGGGCGCTGTGACATCACAATGGGGCGCTATGACATCACAACGGGGCGCTATGACATCACAATGGGACGCTATGACATCACAATGGGGCACTATGACATCACAATGGGGCTCGACATCATAATGGGGCGCCGTGACATCACAATGGGGTGCTGTGACATCACAATGGGGCGCTGTGACATCACAACGGGGCGCTGTGACATCACAACGGGGCTCTGTGACATCACAATGGGGCGCTGTGACATCACAATGGGGCTCTCCGGCAGCGGCGGCGTCGTCACGCCCCGGCGAGCGCCTATGGCGGCGCCGCCATGACGGCAGCGCGCCTCTGAACCGTAGCTCCAGCACTTGTTCAGTTTTACCGAGAGTGGGCGGCAGTGGGGGGGGGGGGGGGGCGTTGAACCGGCGTCAGCCGCGTTCTGCGGTTTGCCGCCCGCGAGCCGCGTGCGGTGCAGCGGCGGACGGTGGGGCGACTGTGCCACCTGTCGCCCGGCAGGGAGAACCAGGAGAAGATGATCTACTTCCTGCTGCTCGACCGCAAGGAGCGCTACCCCAGCTACGAAGACGAGAACCTCCCCCCACGCAACGACATCGGTACGAACGCACGCACACGCACATGCATGCAAACGCACACATGCACACACGCACGCGCACGCACGCGAAGGCTGAAGCAGATAGAGAAGTGAGGTGACATGCAGTGTGGTGAGTGGGTGGGTGGGTGACAGGGTGGGTGAGTGACTTGGTGAGGGATTGGGTGAGGGACTGGTTGAGAGAGTGGGTGAGAGGGTGGGTGGGTGGGTGGGTGGCTGAGAGGGTGGATGAGGGACTGGGTGGATGAGGGACTGGGTGAGTGACTGGTTGAGAGGGTGTATGAGTGGGTGGGTGGGTGAGTGACGGGGTGAGTGAGTGGGTGAGTGACTGGGTGAGGGACTGGTTGAGAGAGGGGGTGAGAGGGTGAGGGGGTGAGAGGGTGAGGGGGTGAGAGGGTGAGAGGGTGGGTGGGTGAGTGGGTGAGTGAGTGAGTGGGTGGGTGGGTAAGTGGGTGGGTGAGGGACTGGGTGGATGAGGGACTGGGTGAGTGACTGGTTGAGAGGGTGTATGAGTGGGTGAGTGACGGGGTGAGTGAGTGTTGTTGTGACCTGCGGCGGTGTGGTGGTTGAGCGCCATGTGGAGGAGCCCAGACGGTCAGTCTGGTCGCCTGGCCTCCTCCACACGTTGGGTGTTTGTTTGGGGCGGGGGGCTGCAGACCCCCCCCGTAAGCGCGTGGACTCTCCCATGCTGAGCCGGCACGGCAAGCAGAGGCCCGAGAGGAAGTCCATGGAGGTGCTGAGCGCGGGGGAGGGCGGCTCGCCCAGCACCGTGCGCAGAGCCCTGCACACTGCACCCCACGGGCAGAGGTGAGGGCACGCACCACACACGTACTACACACGTGTCACACGCACCACACACGCACCACACACGTGTCACACGCACCACACACGTGTCACACGCACCACACACGTGTCACACGTACTACACACGCAACTACACACGTACCACACACGTACCACACACGCACCACACGCGTACCACACGCGTGCCACACGCACCACACACGTACTACACACGCAACCACACACGCAACTACACACGTACCACACACGTTCCACACACGTACCACACACGCACCACACGCGTACCACACGCGTGCCACACGCACCACACACGTACTACAACAACAACAACAACCGCCATTCGCCACTAAGTGGCGGTGACGTCACCACGATGCTTGTGCCAGGCCAAGTGCACCTTGAGGCCACGTGAAGTGTCGAAAGCCCGCTGGCAGGAGGTCACGGGGCAGACCCAGCAGGTGCCACGGGTCGACTGACCGAGATGACCGAGATGACTGGCTGATGCACCACCTGTGCCCCCTACTGTGCCAACTTGCTGTGCTTTAGCCACCCGGTGCTCCGCTCGTTGTTGTGAGCGTCGCTCCTCCGCCCTCCGTTGTTGTTGGAGGGCGACTGCCTCCAACTGCCCAGTAGCGTCCTTCACGAGCCTCCTCCACTGAGGCCGATCTTGACACCGCTGGTACCAGTCATCGGCAAGTCCACTCAGCTCCACGTCCTCCTGTACCACATCACTCCATCTCTTCTCCAGCCCGTGCCGCGCCCGTCTAGCCCCCTCGATCCGGCCGAACAAAAGCTGTTTAGGCATGCGGTGGCTGGGCATGCGGGCTACATGACCCAGCCAACGCAGCCTTGCCTGCCGGAGGAGCTCACTGATGGGACTTTGCCCAGATCTTTCAAGGATTTGTGAGCTCCTCACACAATCCAGCCTGGTTAAACCCAGGATGGATCGTAGGCAGGCCAGCCTAAATGTTTCCAACCGGCGAAGATGCTCCACCAGGGGGGTCCACGTCTCGCAAGCGTAGAGAAGGGAGGGAATGACCGTGGCCGAGAAGACCTGAAGCTTCGTGCGGAGCGACAGACCAGGTAGCTTCCACACAGCGTTACGCAACCGATGAAAAGATATTGCCGCTCGACTGATTCGGAGTGAGACCTCTGCTGATAGACTGGAGCCGGTCATAAGCACACTGCCCAGGTATGGGAAACTCTCCACTCTCTCCACAACTGCCCCATCACCAATTGGGAGTTGTGGGGGTGGAGTGTCCGATGGTACAAAATACCCAGGCAGGTGCTTAGTTTTGGTGGGGCTGATGGTAAGGCCCCACCTCTTAGTGGCACGCTCCAGTCTCAGCAGCAGCGTCTCCAACTCCTCCTCTGAGTGAGCAGCTATTACCAAATCATCGGCATACATAACGTGGTTGACCAATAGGGAGCCATCCCTTGATCGCACCCGGGCGTCGATCAGCCTCCCATTATATCTGTACCACGTACTACACACGCAACCACACACGCAACTACACACGTACCACACACGCACCACACGTACCACACACGCACCACACGCGTACCACACGCGTACCACACGCGTGCCACACGCGCCACACATGCACCACACTTATCACGAACGCCACACGTACCACACACACCACACCGCCCCCATGGGCAGAGGATGCCGATGTTGCAGTGATTATGATAATGCTGGTGATGATGGCGGAAATGTTACTGGTGATTACGATGGCGGCGATGGTGGTGGTGATGATGGCGACGATGGAAATTATGGCAATGGTGGTGGTAATAATGATGACGATGGTGGTGGTAATGATGATGACGATGGTGGTGGTAATGATGATGATGGTGGTGGTGGCGATGATGGTGGTGGTGGTGGTGATGGCGGTGATGGCAATGATGGCGATGGTCCCCGTCGGTGTTGCCCTGCGGCCCAGGTCCCGCTCTGTGAGTGGAGCCTCCTCCGGCCTCTCGTCGAGTCCACTCAACAGCCCCCGGGTGAGCCGCTCGCTGCGCCGCCAGCGCCCCGACACCGACACACACAGTCGCTCGCTCCGCACGGGCGGAGACGATCTCCCGGCGCGCCAGACGAAGCAGCGGAGAGAAGGAGATAGAGATGTAGTGAGGTGGTAGTGAAGATCTAGACGAGAGATGTAGATGTAGTGAGGTGGTAGTGAAGATCTAGACTAGAGATAGAGATGTAGTGAGGTGGTAGTGAAGATCTAGACGAGAGATGTAGATGTAGTGAAGTGGTAGTGAAGATCTAGACGAGAGATGTAGATGTCGTGAGGTGGTAGTGAAGATCTAGACGAGAGATGTAGATGTAGTGAGGTGGTAGTGAAGATCTAGACGAGAGATGTAGATGTAGTGAGGTGGGAGAGAAGCGCGCTGCAGGCAAGATGGGGATGAGAGGGACGGAATGGCTTATTGAGTTTGAGGATTTAAATTCGACCTGATATCTACTATTGACCCATATTATTATTGTTGTTGTTCTCATGAAGCCGCCGCTCATGAGCCGCTTGGAGTCCCCGAGCTTTTACTCGGCATCCTCACGCCCAGTGCCACCACTGGCTTGCGATGTCCTCGCCCAAGCGATCGAAAAAAAACATTCATCCTGAACCTAGCGTTGTTGCTCAACTCGAGTATAGTGTTAGGGGTTAGGGGTCAGTGTTAGGCTTGGGGTTTAGCATCAGGGTTAGGGTCAGTGTTAGCCTTGGGGTTTAGCATCAGGGTTTAGCATCAGGGTTAGTGTTAGCCTTGGGGTTTAGCATCAAGGTCAGGGTTAGACTCGGGGGTTTGGAGTTCGCGCGACGGTAATCCTCATGATCCACGCCGCTCCGTCATCACCCTCCTGGCGTTGCGTGAACTCGCACGGCCACGACTTCACAACAACTCCACAACTTCGCCTCTTCCTCACCTCTCTCACGTCGTCGGTGGCGCCAGAGACCGTGCTGCGTCGCGACGTTGCACGCACGCGGTGCGGCGAGGTCACGTGACACGCAAGGCACGACGCCTGGAGGACCGATGCAGCGCCTGTCACAGCCCAGGCGCGGCCGTCACAATGATCGCTGTGCCTTGCATGACGCCAATATTTCCACCGAGTTTTCGTTTGCCGCTTGTTTGATTTAATTTTTTTCTTGCCCCCACCTCTTTGTGTTCGCTAACACTTTTTTTTCGTTTCTGTTCCATTTCTCTGACTCCTGTGTCTGTTTCTTCTCGCGACCTCTCCGTGCCCTTTCCGCGCCCTTTTCACGCCCTCCGTGCCCTCTCCGTGACCTCTCCCGAACCTCTCCGTGACCTCTCCACGACCTCTCCTTGCCCTCTCCTTGCCCTCTCCTTGCCCTTTCCGTGCCTTCTCCGTGACCTCTCCGTGACCTTTACACACCCATCTGCGACCTCTGTGACTTCTCCGTGACCTTTCCGTGACATCTTCCTGCCCTCTTCGTGCCCTCTCCATGACCTCTCCATGACCTCTTGTCCCCTCTCCATGCCCTCTCCGTGACCTTTCCATGTTCTCTGTCTCTGCTGCCTGTTCAAAATCACGCACGCACGCACACACACCTCACCACTCTCCGTCAACGGTTCGAACATTGTGACCGTCTGTACGATTATAACGTTACGTTCTTATTATCATCATTATTATTATAACTTTACATTGTATTTTAAATTTTCATTTGCGTTTCGACTTTTTTTGCTCCATGCATTGCGTTCGTTCCGCCTGTGTTGGTGTACGGTGTCGCTCAATGCATTGTATGTTCAACGTGCGTGTGTGCATCTATGTGTGTGTATATGCCTGTGTGTGTGCATATATGTGCCTATGTGTGTGTGTGTGTATACTTGCCTGTGTGTATGTGCCTGTGTGTGTGTGCGTATACCTGCCAGTCTTTGTCTTTGTACGTGCCTGTATGTGTGTGTGCCTGTGTGTGTGTACGCGCCTGTGTGCGTGTGTACGTGCCTGTGTGTGTCCGCCCATGACCACTACTGTCCTTGCGTTTTAACTTCCCATCCGCCAAGCCCGGCCGCAAATTCTCTACACCGCCGTGCTTGGCGCACCACTATGGCCACCACCTCTTGCCCTCTGACCCCCCGGCGACCCCACGCCTCGACCGTGACCTTTGGCACCAGTCTTACAACCACCAGCAGCAGCATCCCAACCGCTTTAACTCGCCCGTCAATTCCGCCATCGCAGCCACCGGCATCTCGAAATCATCGTTACTCTCGTCGTTGTCGTCGTCGTCATCTTCGTCATCTTCGTCGTCATCGTCATCTTCGTCCCATTTGCCGGCGCACCCTCACTTCGGCTTTGGCGCGTTCATGTGCGGACGCTCACGAGCCATCAAGTCGCTGGGCTGCGCTGGTGGCGGTGGTGGTGGTGTTGGTAACGGTGCTGCTGGCGGCGGCGGTGGTGGTGGTGCTAATTTTAGTGGCGGTGTTCACGGTGGCGGTGGCGGCGCCGGTGGTGGTGGCGCTAAGGGTGCTGCTGTCGGTGGCTGTGGTGTTCGTGGTGGTGCTAATTGTGGTGGCGGTGGCGGCGGTGGTGGTGGTGGTGGCGGCGGCGCCAGTCGATATTATCGTCCACACTTTGTGAGATTTCCCATCAGACCCAAATGTAACCCACACTTGAACTCGGTCACCAAACCGTGCACCAGCACTGAGCCAAGCTCCGACCGTGGCCATTGCCCAGCTGCCAGCCCAAAGCTTGACCCACACACAAACCCCAACACTGACCCGAGACCTAACCTCGATCCTAACCCGAACCCAGGAGCAGCTCGCCCAGATGTGACTGTGGGCGTGAGGCCTGGTGCTAAATCCAGCCTTCGGTCTGATTCCATCGCAAACCATCACCCCTACTCGAACCTCAACCATAACCTAAATGCTAACCCCAAGTTTTATCACGTTCTTCATCCTCAATTGGATTCAACTCCCAACCCTCACCCGAAGTTCAACACGAATTCGGGAACAAGCCTGAATTATGTTAGTCTCGCAAACCCGAACCCCGACGACCCACAACCTGGGCTGGGATCCGACTCGCACGTCAACCGTTCTCTGAGCCCTCACGCGAGCCCGGGCTCTGATGTCAACCGCGACCCAAGCGTTAGCCACGGTCTAAAGTTTGGTGAAGATCCTAGACACGATTCTAACCCTGGCCCTGTCTCAAACTGCACGAGCCCAGATCCTTACGCGAAACCAATACTTCACACAACCTGCGAAAGGCTGACCTCTGGAGTGACCCCTGACCCCGAGCCCACCGTTGAACCCACTTGCTTGCTGGAGGCCCCCCAAAACCTTTACCTTGACTGCGATCGCGACCTCTGGCACCACCGCGACCCGTTGACCTGGCCCGCTAGCCCCGACGTTCACCGCCGCCGCCACCGCTCCTCGTACGAGCCGTGCCCAGTAGACGGCCCGGCCGCTCTGAGCGTCGGCGCCATCTTTGCTCGCGTCCTCTCACCCCGCCCCGCCCCTACCCCGACCGCGAACCCCGACCCTAACCGCGACCCCGACCCTAACGTTGGTGCCGCCCTTGCCGTGCGTGCTCGCGCCATCGCCCCCGGCGACCCCGTGTGTCGCCGCGACGATGACGGCGGTCGCCACGGCGGCGCCCTTCCCCTGCGCCGCCTCCTCCTCCTCGACCGCCGTCGCGGCGCCTGCGGCTGCCGACGGCATCACGGCGCCGCTACCCGCGCCGTTTCGGTTTCGTTTGCTCCCGCCGGCGTCACTGGGTCTGCCGGTGCCGCCACCGCCGGTGCTCCCGCCGCTGCCACCGAACCGCCCCCTCTCGCCGATCTCCCCGGCGCCACGTTCCTCGGCGACCGTTCCTCCTCCTCTGCCGCCTCCGCCACCGCCACCGCAACCGCCGGGACCGGCGCCGCCTTCCTACTCCTGCACCGGCCTCCGCGCCGCTCTCACCGCCCTCTGCCTCTGCCGCCGCTGCTGCTGGCGTCGTCGCCGTCGTCGCCGCCGCCGTCGCCGCCGCAGGCGACACCGCACCCCTCGCCGCGCGCCTCCCCCGTGCCGGCGCCCCGCGCCGCCCAGGGTCGGGCGCCGGCATTGCCGGGCCCGCCGGGCTCGCCGGGACACGGCGCCGCCCCGCCGTCGCCCTCATCCACGGGGACGCCGCCGTCCAGCCCCGGGGGGTCGGGCTCGGTCGCCGGCGCCGGCGTCGGCGGAGCGGGAGGAGCGGCGGGAGTTGGGCCTCCTTGGAAGAACCGGCTGAGCTCCATCAAGAACAGCTTCCTGGGCTCGCCGCGGTTTCACCGGCGCAAGCTGCAAGGTGCCGGACGCGGCCGCCGTGGTCGTCGTCGCCATCGCGGTTACTCGTTTGCGTTGCGAGCGCCGTCGTTAGCATGCACGTGCCGTATTCACCGCATTGTGAGACGCATCCCCCGGCTTTGGCTTTGATCAACAGTGGCACAAGGTGCGTCTTAACGCGGAGAGTACGGTAAATACGGAACCTCTTCTCTCCATTAGCATGTCAGTCGGTCAGTCTGTCGGTCACACGAACTATAATTGTCATACACGGTCAGAAAGAACCGGCGCAACTGTAAGGTATGGATATCGAGCTCTTTTGTTTGACGCATGACCTTTGACCTGGGTCCCAAAAATTACGTGACCAAAATGTATTTCGTTTCACCGGGCAGATCGCTACCGATGCTCGCAGCGATGGTCTAATACGTCTGGCAGGCCTCGGGTAGCCATGAGGGGCGACGCAGATCGAATCCGCGGGGTGGCCGTGCACGATGCGAAGTAGTGGTGCCGTGCTCTGCTCGCAAGGCCGTAGGCTGCCCCCACCCATCACCAACTTCGTCTGCGCACACCCAGACGCGAGCATCGCCCTGGCTGGGGCCGCTGTGTGATCGAGCCCCCCGTTTGTGCCCCTCCCCCCCTTCTCTTTCCCCACCCTAGTTCCAACGGCGGATGAAATGACGAGCCTCACTCCCGAGTCATCCCCAGAGTGAGACGACTGGCAACACGGAGACTGCTTCAACACAGAGCTATGCACACACACGGCAACACAGAGAGCCACGCACACACACACTCGGCAACACAGAGCTATGTACACACACACACGGAAACACAGAGATACACACACACACACACACGACGACACAGATATACACGCACACACACACGGCAACACAGAGATACACACACACACACGGCAACACAGAGATACACACACACACACGGCAACACAGAGATACACGCACACACACACGGCAACACAGAGATACACACACACACACGACGACACAGCGATACACACACACACACGACGACACAGATATACACACACACACACACGGCAACACAGAGATACACACACATGGCGACACAGAGATACACACACACACACACGGCAACACAGAGATACACGCACACACAGCGACACAGAGATACACGCACACACACACAGCGACACACACAGCGACACAGAGATACATGGACACAAATAGAACAAATAGATGCGTTGTACAATATGTACACAAAACAACACAGATCCACCTGCTGCTTACCGCACTCGCGCCAACAGTCTGCTGAAGGCTAATCGGGAGATATGTGTCTGTGCATGTCTGTGCGTGTGTGTGCGTGTCTGTGCGTGTGCGTGCGTCTGTGCGTCTGTGCGTGCGTGTGCGTGCGTCCACTCCAGACTGGCCAAGAAGTCGTGGTTTGGGAATTTCATCAGCCTCGACAAGGGCGAGCAGATCTTCCTCATGGTGGAGAACAAGCCCATCAGCACCATCAAGGCGGACGTGGTGCACGCCTTCCTCTCGGTAGCTACCCGCGCTCGGCCCCCCACCCTCCGGCACCACCACGGCCCCCCCCCCCCCCCTGAGCTCAAACGGTCGCGCTGCGACCCGAGTTTGATTCCCGCTCGCGACCATTAACACCGTTGACGATAATTATCTGAAGCGGCGCTGCGTGGCTGCGTGGCTGCGTGGCTGCGTGGCTGCGTGGCTGCGTGGCTGCGTGGCTGCGTGGCTGCGTGGCTGCATCTGTCGTCGATTCGACCTTAAAACGAGTACCCTGGTGAGGCATCTAAAAACATCGCCACCCAATCCCCTCGTGGGACATAGGTGCTGCTCGCTCATGGCACTTGCCCCAAAAGTTTGCTTAAGGCTATACGGGGGGGGGGGGGGATATTTGCTTTTGCTTTTATTTCTAGGGAGAGGTCGTGTGGCGCTTAGGCCGCCAAGCGAGGAAAAGTGACGGTTTTTTCTTAGCGTCAGCACCACGGACAGCAACGAGCGGTTGCGTTAAGAAAAAACCGCCACTTCTTTCAAATTTTCTTGGCGTGGTTTTCACACCTGATGATTGCTTGTGTTGCAATCGAAACGTCGTGAGAATTTTTTTGTTTTATTTGTATTATTTCTCTTCTACGTGACTTTACCGAAAGAACCTAAGAATATGAGTTTATAATAGTTTAATATGGAGGTTATAGTAGTTTAGTAGGGAGTTTATAATAGTTTAATAGGAAGTTTATCATAGTTTAATAGGAAGTTTATCATAGTTTAATAGGGAGTTTATCATAGTTTAATAGGGAGTTTATAATAGTTTAATAGGGAGTTTATAATAGTTTAATAGTTTCAAATAGTGAAATAGATAGTTTAATAGTATGATAGATGATAGTTTAAAAGTGTTAAATTGTTTAATAGTATAAAATAGTTTCATAGTTTCAAATAGTTTAATAGTTTAAAATAGTTCAATAGATGATCATTTTAAATAGTTTAAATAGGTTAAAACAGTTTGATAGATAGTTTAATGATATATAGTTTCACAATACATAGTTTAATAATAGATAGTTTAATGTTAGATAGTTTAATGATACCCCCTGCCCACCTCCTACGCATTTCCCATGAATATGCTAAATTCCTCTTGATATGCACATTATTTTTGTTAAGGCGCTCTTCCACCTCCAACCCAGCTTATATATAAGCTCCTAGCTTGGCAGTGTCTCATTCTTCACCTGAAGACGGCTGCTTGCGTTGTAGCCGAAACGTCGTGAGAATTATTTTATTTTATTAAGTTTTATTTTATTATTTTATTATTTCCCTTCTATGTGACTTTACCGAAAGAACCAAGAAGATGAATCCCTGCAGTCACGAAAGCTTTAAATCGAAAAAGATGAATGATAATTAGTTTAATAATATATAGTTTAATGATAGATAGTTTAATGTTAGATAGTTTAATGGAGTACCCCTCGCGCGCTGCATCGGCCCCAGTAGGCGCCGCTCGGCTCACGACCCATGACCCCGACGGCCGTTTGAAGGCCCCGCGGGGCACCGTTTTGGGCCCCGTGCGTTTGCGCCTCTCCCTAGATCCCGAGCCTGAGCCACAGCGTCGTGTCCCCCACGAGCTTCCGCGCCGAGTACAAGGCCCCGAGCGGCCCGTCCGTCTTCCAGAAGCCGGTGCGCTTCCAGGTGGACATCGGCTCCAGCGAGGGGCCCGACTCGGCAGGGGACGGCGCCGTCTTCTCGCTCACCTTCACTCTGCTCTCAGGTGACATCGCGTGCAGACGCAGAGACGAGGTCGCAAACGGGTTTTGATTCCTTACCCTTAGCCGTACCCGGCCGCACCAGGGTCGCAAACGGGTACCCGATACCCGGCCGAGTACGGGTAGCCGTACCATACCCGTACCCGTACCCTACCCGATACCCGGCCGGGTACGGGTACGGGTTACCGATTGCGACCTCTGGGATGAAGCCATGTTGCAGGCGCGGGTGGGTTGATTCTAGGAACTTAAATTGTGAGAAGAGACAAGACGTTGGGAAATGAGTGACAAACGGTCACTCACCAGTGACTCACGGCCTACCCGTACCCGGCCGCACCAGGGTCGCAAACGGGTACCCGTACCCGGCCGGGTATGGGTAGTCGGGTATCGGGTAGGGTACGGGTATCGGGTACTCGATTGCCACCTCTGACGCAGAGACGCGTGCGCGTGGTGTGCACGTGGATACACGCGCAGAGACGCACCAGCATGGCGTACAAGCGGGCGCTCACGTACAGGGGGGTGGCAGGGTGGCGGCGCAATGGTGGAGAACTCGTGGGCCTCGCAGTGAGGAAGGGGTCTGCGTTTGATTCTCTAACTCGGGCGACTCCCTTTGTCCAGTTTGTACGTTCTCGTCCCCCCCCCCCCCCCCCCCCCGTTACTGTGAAGAGTGCGAGAGAGAGAATGGGGGGCGGCGGCGTCCGGGGCGGTTAAGCACGCTGCGCTACGAACCTGGCGACCCGAGTTCGATTCCAGACTCACGGCCACCAACTCGGGCGATGAATACGCACGTGCGCACGGCTGACGGAGGGATCGGTCTACTCACTGGTGTTGTCGGTGCCCCTTGACCCCCCCCCCGGCAGGGCCGAGTCGGAGGTTCAAGCGCGTCGTGGAGACGATACAGGCGCAGGTGATGAGCTCCAGCGAGCAGTCGCCCGGGCAACAGCTCTCCGGTGAGGGGGTGGGGACCATCGCCACGGCAACAACCCTGCTAAGGATGTTTTTTTTGTACTCCACATTTGTGGAAATTCCGCGTTCTGGTGGCGAGGGAGGAGTTTGCCCGAAACCGAAACCACCGTTGAACTTCCCCGGTTTTGCGAGCCGCTCGCAACTTCCGAGCCGCAAGGCCGGCGGAGGCTCTGGGCCTCAAAGCACACGGCGGAGGGTCGTGTTACACAGTCGATGGGTTGCAACTGGGATGTAGCAGCACAGCAGAGTGGGTTTGTGAACCCATCCGTGGGGCGCCCGTGGTGGCGAGATGTTAACTACCTCGTCTGGTGTGCAGAATGTCGTGGGTTCGATGCCGACCCTGACGCCTGCTGCTGTATATTTGGAGTTTCGCGTGTCTTTCTCTCTCTCTTTCTTCCTGTGGAAGCGTGGATTTTTTCCCGGGTTCTACGGGTTCTCCCTCCACATTTAGAATCCACATCACGCGTTCAGAGCGTCTGGCTACTAGAAAATACCACGTGATAAGCCACTCGGTCGAGCTGTCGTTTGTGGCCGGTTCTCGCTTCCGAAACAAATCTACATAGCTCAGTGGGCCTTACCAGATTAAAATAAAATAGTTTGTTTATTATAATTACTGTAAGTCTGCGTCAAGTTGTTGTTTAGAATAAAGTGTTCATGCGTTCTCCTCCGGCGTGTCTCTCTGTCCCCGTTTGTTTATGTTCTGGTCATTCCCTCGTCACCGCTCCCTCGTCCCTCACCTTCCAATCTCATCTCGCTTGCAAATCTCCCACCTCATCGCCTTCCTAATATTCCCAGTATCCCATTCTCAACTCCGACCGTTTTTCTTCCCATATTTTTGTGTGAATCTGCCTCGCCTCTCTGCACCCCATTTTGTCGCTTGGTTTTTTTATCACCCACCTTATCTTCATCCCCTTTTCTCATTACCCTCTCCGTTTCCATCTCTCTGCATCGACTCATCTCATCTCTTTTTTTTCCATCTGAAACATTCCTCCTCGTATCCCCATCCCCCCTAACAACTCCATCTCCATCCCCCACCTTCGTTCTCGTCTTCTCATTTTCATCCCAATCTCTGCTTTCTCCTGTCGCCACTCTCCCTGTCTCAACAACCCCGTGGCGGCATCTCGCCCCTCAAACCCCTGCCGCTCTGTCCCCTTCTCTCGTTCCCCACGCTCTCCTTGTCTCTCCACGTGTCTTGGTGACCCGTGCCCTCTCCCAACCACGTGTCCACTGTGTCTCCCTGTTCTACTCTACTTCTGTTCCCTTTGCTTCAATGTCCCTCTGCCCCCCCACCCCCTCAATCCTGCACCAACATCCCCTCACCCTCCACCTGCTCCCCTTCCTCTGTCTGCCCGCCAACTCCGCCACATCCTCTAATCCTCCCAACCCCCTCCGACTCGCCATTGCCCCATGTGCCCATGTCCCTGTGCTCCTCCGATCCATGCCCCATCACCCTCCTCGTGCGGGCTGTCCCTACGGCCTTTCCCCCGCGTCCCCGCGTCCCCGCGTGCGTTCCGTCCCAGGCAGCCCACTGAGTAACTTCTTCGACGTCATCCAGCAGCTGTTTACGGATGAGGGAGGCGCCGAGCAGACGCCCGGGCCCCAGAACGGCGCCGGCGCCACGGGGCCCGGCAGCGGGGGCAGCAGCAGCAGCGGCGGCAGCGCCACCTCCCGCCGCCACGGCCGCACCAGCTGCTGAATTGGCTGCCCGCCATCACCGGTCCCTCTCCACCCACCGGCCACCGTAAACCCGCCGTATAGCGCCTTCTGTTGGGCCCTCCCCCCGCCCGCCCGCCGCCCACCGTGGGGCCCCGACTAGGCGACCGTCACCAGCTGCTAGGCCTGATGAATGTTTCAAAATGGGCCGCTGCTTTCCGGCACCTGTCGGAGAGAAATCGCAGGTGTGTACGCGATTTCTGTGTAATGTTTTTTTACGCTTTTTTCTTCTCTTTTGTTTCCCCCCCCCCCCCCTTTTCTCCAGTAATAATGTTACGGCTTTCAGTCAGGGCTGCGTAATTGTTGAGGCCTACCGGCACTACGTAACACCCGTTTGGTTTGAGACTTGGCGATGGCGGTCACTGTATTTTCAATTTGAAATCGGTTTTCAACAAGAATTACGAATGAAGATTAATTTATCTCCCTTTCTCATTCACTGAATTGGCGATGCATTGCGGAAAATAAGAAGGGGGCAAATATTTGCCATGGTCTTGAGTGAGATTCTGTTTTTTTAGCATGTAAAATCGTTGTAAATCTCATCGATTTCCAAAAAATATATTTTTCTCCCTCAAGTAGATGGCAAATATTCCTGCAAAAAATATAATTAGGAGCTCATTGTTGGAAAGGGGGCGATAGGGAAAGGACGGGTGGCAAAGAACTCGGTCAGACAATGGAGAAAGCGAGGGATGCACTTGACCCTGAGTGGACCACATGCCCGCCGCGTTTCTTGTGGTGGAGGCCGACTGTGGTTCGATGACTGGGTCCGTGGCCCCGAGTGCGTGCCGCTGGGCTCTCCTCATGGCTCTCACAAAGACGGACGGACACGGGGGAAATGCGCAAACACATTTTTCGCAGGGAGATTTCGCGACAACAACAACAACAACCTTTTGTGGCCTCTTGGAGCCACGTGAACCGAGAAAACAAAACATCCATCTTTTAGAACTGCTACGTCAAGCACCACTGGCCAAACCTTTGACACATTGGGGCCCCCGAAAGCTCTGCAGAGGTCAACTCAAAACTCTACGAAGGTTAAAAAAAATATTGCACGCATGGTCGTCAGTTCGCCTCGGATGCAGCAGGCCTTGGCTGAATCGACCACTCGCAGTTTTCAGTTCACATGATCGTTCTTTACTTTGCACCGAGGTGAAGAGCCTGGGAGGGGGAGGACGTTTTTGCAAAGGGAGATCGATTGTGTTCCTTCAGCAGCCATGTCGAGCGATTCATCGCGGGCCCGCCAAGGCAATAGTCGTAGCGCTTTGCGGAAATGTACTCGGATGGAGACGGGGGGGGGGGGGGGGAAGAGTTTGTGTTCGGTGGAGCCCGGCGTTGCGAGGAAATCGGACGCTTTTATCAATCTGTGCCTGATCGGGGCGGTACTTGAATCGTCGATAACTGAGAGAGGAAGAAGACGAAGGGCGGCGACAACGAGGACGACCCGGCTGGTGCCGCTGAAAGCGGCGTCCGTTCGGGACGGGGTGGGGGGAGACATCGCGACGTCCCGTCTTTTGGACGAGACGCTAAACTCGAGTCCTGTCGATGCTAAAGAACGATATTTGCTGCTCGCCGAAGGCTGGCGGTTGGGACAAAGACATGATTCGCGTCCTTCCCTCCGGCTGGACATTCCCATCGCGAGAAATCCGTCGTGAACGTTTTGTCTGCCGATCGACGCGCGTGTCCTGGAGTTAGCGTTTCGTGAATCTTTGGAGAGGAGCGTCGAGGATGCGTTGCTGCAACGGTGGGCGGCTCGTAGCAGCCACAGCGGACGACACCCACTCGTGTCAAACAAAGTCGGCCTTCACGCTGTAAGCCACGTCTTAAGAACTCGCTGAGGCGGCCGTTTCTCGATCTCAAATCCTGGCGGCCGAAATCTCGCTCTGTCTTTGCGCAGCACGCACACCTACACCGTCCAGTGCGTGTGTGTGTGTGCGTGCACGATCCGCTTTGGGTGCTCGGCCAGTTCGAGCGAGATTGGCAGACCACGGAATGATGGATTGGATTTAGAGCTCGGAGGAGCGTGGGGTTTTGAGGGCAGTGTCGTGTTTATCTTCTTATTTGGTCTAACCACGGCTCTGTGTTATTGTACTTAAAGCAGCCAGTGGGCCTAAATAGTGGCCTAGTCAGAGTCTTTAGAAAGTAGTTGCTTGGGTGGTACAACTTTTGCCACTTTTTTTTCTATATACAGAGCCACGATGTGTTTTTTTGTTTTGTTTACCAGCTAACGTTTGCTAAATTACAGCAATACTCAAACAAGTATTCCAAAGGGCATCTTTGTAAAAGTTTAAGTCTACACAATTGAGGCTTACACATGGCCCTCATGTCACTGTGCGCTAAATATTTGTTCCAATTTATTTTTAGCACTGTAACAAAATAAATGCCATCTGGTAATAACAGGAGCGACAATTTACGTAAATTACCTCAAAATCCGTGTTGTATACTTATATTTCCTTCAAAATTTTACTAAGTTAAGTGGGACTCCTTTGCAGGCTGTTTAATCTGCATTGTACCTAATTTAAAGTATAGAAAGGAAAGAGATAAACACTTCCAAAATAAAACGAGGAGTCAAAAAGCCGATTCAAACAAAACTACTTTCATCAAACTGAAGTGCAGTGGCGGTGGCAAGACGTTGGAAACGAGGTCACGTGACATTGTATTTCTTCAATGAAGGAAATTCCGCTCTCAATGCTTTCTGGATTAATCTTCTTGGTTCTTTCGGTAAAGTCACCAAAGAACCAAGAAGATGAATCCCTGCAGTCACGAAAGCTTTAAATCGAAATGCTTTCTGGATGTTCACGCTTTTTCTATTTATCTGCCCCGCGACCCCCCCCCCCCCCCCCGCCAAAAGATTCGCTCCCCAGATTCGTACTCTCGCGCCCGCGAAGACGAGATTGCATTTTGCTTCTCGTGACCAGACTGCGGCTCTGCCACTCCCCTACACGGGGCCTCGTGAGTGGGTGTGAGGTGGCGGGAAGAAGCCATTCTGTTTATGGGGGGCCCTCCCTCTGCCCCCCCCCCCCCGTGGCTCACGAGGCCTGGATGAAAGAACTCCCATGGAACCGCACGCGGACAGTGAGAGATGCTCCTCAACCCAGGGCCTCGACCCCCGAACTTCTACCAACACTGTGAACTCTGCAGGGCGATGTTTAAGGGCAGTATTCGGAAGAAAACCGCTCACTTCACTTCCAGAGCTTCCTGAGCAAGAAATTGGTGTCGTTTGGAGAAACCCACGAGAGACGAGACGAGTTTGGATGTGTGGGTTTGGGTGCGGGAGACACTCAACGACGGATTAGGGCTGGACTTTATCACCGTTGTTGTTGTTGTTTATGGGTTGTTTTTTTACATGAACTGTTTGGCCGTTTCGTTGCTTTCGTTTCGTCGTCGCGAATGTGTGCGGGTCCCACTGCCGGTGTTGTTCGTCGTCAAATTTATTTTGCGTCGTCTCGAGAGAGACGAAGGTTGCTGGTGATGGAACAGACGAAGGGAAACGGGGACAAAGATGGGGAGGAAACAAAAAGAGCCCAACGGGAAAAAATTTAAAGAACGCTGCCGTGGAAATACGTATATTTTGTTACCGTTGAGATGAGGCACGGTTAGGAGAGTTGGGTTGCCTTCATTTGAGCATCGGGTATTTGCCCGCTTGGATGAGAAGTCAATGGAGATCTCGGTGAAAATACCTAACGACAACAATTCTAAAAGTACCCATTAAAAACAAACGAATTGCATTTACAGCTGACGCCCAGAGACCAGTCGGTGGTTGGGTGCGCGCATCTGAATGGGGGCCGTGGCGTCAGAGATGTTTCGCTTGAGATCGGTGTTTCTTAACCCCGTCGTGCGCGAGATGATCCTTTCTGAGAACCAAAGTGGGGGGTGTGGTGGGGTGCAGGCTGCAATAAAAGGTTAAGAACCACAGGCTTTAGATGCTAGTCGTCAGCAGCGGGGGGGGGGGGGGACACGACAGTTTTTTTTATCAATCTTCAGAGGTTTACATCGCTTAGGCTGGAAATAAAATAAAAAACAACTCCATTTTAATTGACGGGTTGGCCGATGTAACGGAATCGTAATTTGTTTTTAATGACGGAGTATACACATTCTAGATTTGACGCTTTCGTGACTGCAAGGATTCATACTCTTAGTTTTTTCGGTAAAGTCACGTAGGTAAATAATGAAATTAAAATTAATAAAAATAAAAGAATAAAAATCACGACGTTTCGGAGGCAACACAAGTCTCCGTCATCAGGTGGGACCAGTCACAGCCAGATTTGCTGTATCAAGCGAGGCAAGGAATTCCAAGTATACACACACACACGAGATGTGTACTGGAAAGACTCGATAAGCCACGTGTTTGTATTACAACAGAAACTCCACGGCAGCTTAAGTTCACCGCCACATTGTCGAGTCCACTTCTCATCGTTGCCGTTGAATCATGCCCCCCCTACCCACCCCCCCGCCCCCCAGATGGGCTCCGTACAATGAACTCTTCAATCCTGTAATTAACTTTTTTTTAAATTTTCACTTAGCCAATGAGCTGTCTACCAGAGGTCGCAAACGAGTTTTGATTCCTTACCCATACCTGTACCCGGCCGCACCAGGGTCGCAAACGGCTACCCGTATCCGGCCGGGTACGGGTAGCCGGGTATCGGGTAGGGTACGGGTATCGGGTACCCGGTTGCGACCTCTGCTGTCTACTCTCGACGAGAGACAACTTTCTGGGCACAATGTATTTGGCGATTGCCGCATTGGCGGTGGTGCACACATAACGAAACAAGCTTTTCGGCACACGTGTCAATAATGCTCTGGCAGAGACCCGTGAAAGGCCCCTTTCGAGACGTGAAGCTCATTTCCAATGGCAGTGCTCCGTACACAAGTGTGCTCTGCTGATGGACCGTCGCCTGCAACGTCGCCACAGTCTTATTGATGAATGTGTTGGGGGTGGGGGGGGTAGTTTTGTTAATCTCGAGACATTGAGCCGTTGTGGGTTTTTCCAGGACGCTCTGCCTGATGGTATTGTTGCTTCATGCGATCGAAACACTTTCCCTTCGGTCAGTCCAGTTGATTGAAATCATCTCTAGGTCTGGCAGCGAGGCCGTGATGGCAGTGGTGAGGAATGCAAAATTGGACAAACGGTCGACAGAGCAGTAGGGAAAGGAGAGAGCGAGGAGTGTGTTGATTTGTCGTCTAGAGATGTTCCCGCTCTTCCCCAACGTCTCCTATTGTGGCTGTTCGTTTTTTGCTTGACGATCCTTCACCAAGATGATCAGTGCCAGTTGGTGAAGGGAGAGAATGGTGGGGGATGACCACAAGGACAGGTTCATCTAACGCTCGTTACCGATGTTAGCCGTGGCCTGGTAACAGAAACCCAGATTTGAAGCTTTCGTGACTGCAAGGATTCATATTCTTAGGTTTTTTTCGGTAAAGTCACGTAGGTAAAACAAATTAAATTAATAAAAGTACTGTGCCTGTGACGGTTCCACCTGAAAGACGGAAGCTTGTGTTGCCTCCGAAACGTCGTGATTTTTATTTTATTTAAATTTTACTTTTATTTATTTTTAATTTTTACCTACGTGACTTTACCGAACAAAACCCAAGAACAGAAACCCAGTCCGGCCGGGCTCCAGGGTGCAGTGTGCTCACGACGGCGCCACAGGGCTCTCCGCGGGTCGATGAAATGCGGTACCAAATGACGCCTGGAAAGTGTCAAGGTCACGGGGGTGGACCTCTGCCTGACCAGGCGTGGAAGCGGCGCTCATCTCGGCTGGTGGCCCCTGGGCAAGTGGTGGGGAAATTCCACATTCCCCCATGGGCAAGGTGGCCAACCATTGATTTACAGCAACAAAGTAGCACTCGTGTTTTGTTTGTTTGTTTAAATCAAACCTGTAAGGAGGATGATGATGATGATCGTGGTGACGGCGGCGGTGGGATGAACCGACTGGGCCGAATTTTGTTTTTGCGAAATGTTTATATTTTTTTGCGTTCACGTCTCGGAGCTGGTTAGACCGCCCGCTTGCCGCGTTCCTGCCAAAAAAAAAAACCCCACAAAAGTAAAAACAGAAAACAAGCGGCGAGTTTCTATACAAAGTGCGCTTTCGCCAAGTTCCCCACAATGGTTATAGCACTGAGAATGGCTGCTTCTACCATGGCTCAATGGCAGCAGCAGCAGCAGCGTCTCCGCTGAGACCCATCGTGCGTGTGGGTGATGGCTCTGCTCACGTTAGCGACTGTAGGACATTTTGTCTGTTTGAACAAAACAAACGACTCGAGTAAAAAAAAAACCGCGAAAAAAAAAAAACATTGAAATGTAGGCGATGCTGTACAAATAATGTACAAAAAAATATTCCAGACTTGTAGCCTGAATTCTAGCAAATATTGTATTTATATGATGAATCATTGTACATGAAATATCTTTGCAAATGGAGGTTATAGTGTTGGGGTGACCTTTGCCTGTAATAACTATTTTAAGCAATCTCTTTTTTTCCCCCCGTTTGTTTTTAAAAGGTGGACGGTAAGGTCCCCGTGTGTCCATATCGGCGTGGTGCTGTGGGGTGTGGCGCTGTGGGGTGCGTGCAGGCAAACGGACGAGAACCAGAAGCGAAAAACAAATTCCCCAAAAATGCGTCACCTTTTCAAGTCGACGTATGCCACCGTTTTGTTCCTGGTAATGATACAATAATTGCCCTCCCCAAGGAATACGCGCCCGCGCGCACGTACACACACACACTCTGTTGCATGTTCCAGTTGTGTCCCTCCCGCACTGATTTCCTCTCCTCATATTTTCTGTAACCGACAATTTGTTCTGCTCCCATTTTTCTCGACCCAAAACTTTGCATCCCTCGTCAATTTCACTCTTTGCTGCAATTAATTGCCCCATTTGGTGGCAATAAGAACCATACCATCGGCGAATCGGAGATGGTTAATACACCCTGACCACGTATATTTATGCCTTTATTTGTCTAATACAATCTTTGGCATGTATCGTCTAGTTAGTGTCACAGTTTAATGGCCTCGGAGAGATGCGTATCTCTTTGGCCAACTGCTCTTTCGATTTGTGTTTTACTTCATGCAATCTCAGTGGCGTGCTTCCTCGTTCATATTAGTTAATGATACTTTATCTATTTTGTAAATTAAGGCCTTTGTTTATGATAGCTTGGATAACTGCATCAGTTTCCATTGAAATAAATCTATATCAAGCCTCGCCTCCAAGTCACGTGACTCGTGTGTGGCCACCCCCACTCTGAACCCCTCCCCTCTCTACGCCACCCCCTGTGGAAACAGACTCCGCTCCGTACGGCTCACTCCTGTTGCTCGCTCCTTCTCTGTCCCATTTCCCCCCTCTCCTCTCAAACCCCCGACAATCTTGGTCCGGTGACGCTTTCCTAACCCTCGGGTCACCATTTCTCTATCCCTTTCCAATCCATGTCCCCTCTGATTCCCATCCTTTCCCGTCTCTCTTCCATTTCCCGTTCCTCTTTTATATCGTCGACTCGACTCCCCTTGTGGTGGCACGCCACGGGTAAAGGAGTTGTGTAATGTGTTAGGGTTGAGTATAAGAGTGTACAATGAGTCTGTGTGTGTATAATAAGAGCAATTATTGAAGGCAGACGAGGATCGAAACAACGGCGAAATAAAGATGCGAGCAAGAGCAGATGTGCTTTTGTAAATTAAATTTGATTATGAAACGCAATCTACCAATGTGCCTGAAAGAACGTTTTTAGTCGGTGCATATTACCTGCTATGACATGGATCGGAAGCATGGACTCTGGAATAAAATCTGAAAGGTTTGCAAAGATGCATGGAGATGCATGCTGGCAATTACACCGAGAGACGGGTAGAGGAACATGAGGATTAGAAAAGAAAGGCAGAATAGATAACATTCTGATTGTAAAAGTATGGTCCACTAGCTCTGACCACCAAGATGGCTGACCCTGACCACCAAGGTGGCTGACTCCGACTGCCAAGGTGGCTGACTCTTGCCACCAATATGGCCGACCCTGATCACCAAGATGGCCGACCCTGACCACCAATATGGCCGACCCTGACCACCAAGATGGCTGACCCTGATCACCAAGATGGCCGACCCTGACCACCAACATGGCCGACCCTAACCACCAACATGGCCGACCCTAATCACCAACATGGCCGACCCTGACCACCAAGATGGCTGACCCTGACCACCAAGATGGCTGTCTTTTGCCACCAAGATGGCTGCGTATTCGTGTCAATGCGTGCACACACCTTACGCTTATTCATCTAGGATACAAGTTGCAGTTTTTGCTCGTGACCAGGTCACGTATTTCGGCTTGCGTTGCATTTGCTCATTTGACACTTTTTTTTGTTTGTTAACCTTTAATAAAAAATGGGATCAATTAAAATAAATTCTGGCGGTTATTGTCCATCCATCCGCGTCGCGAATTAACACGCAAAAGCATAATCACGCAAAGAGATATTTTCCTGTGGCGCAAATCGGATTTTTATCAAATACAATTTGGTTTCGTTTCAAAGTTGTTGTTTTCAGTTGCTGATGAGAGGTTTTGGCACATGCCTCTTAGATCGCATGGTGCAAATAACCGATGATCCAGCACACGCGCCGATTAACTCAAATCTCTCCACCACCCACCGACGGTCAGCCGGCTTCCTTAAAAATAGGCCCCATATCAGAATATTTATATGATACGAGATGAATCCGATGAACTACAAAGCTCTTTTTTTTTTACAGATTTCCGGTCCGGTTGCGGGGTCAACGTCACAACGACAAAGAATTAAAAAAAACACTAGGAGTGTAATGTATACGAAATTGAAACAAAGCACTTAAAACAATATACAAAAATACTAACAAAATTGTTTTAATTTAACACGTCGGCTTTCGCGACCAATATTATTCATAATAAAGGTTTTTGGGTTAGATCGCGCTATTTATAAATATGTCGTAACCCTCCACCACCCGACACGGCCAAACAGTAAAAAAAATGTGTCCGTTTTTCAAAGGACAAAATAATTCACTTCTTTAGCCCACCGATGTGTTGAAGAGAGAATCAACAGCATTTTAAAATTTGAGTAGTACGACGTTTCGCTGATAATTACAATCAGCGAAACGTCGTACTCAAATTTTACACTGACGAACACCCCCCCCCTGCCCTCCACCGCCCCCCACCGCCCCCACCACCCCCCACCGCCCCCCACTACCCCCCACCACCGAGTTCTTTGCTCCCTGCCAACGTTGGAGGGGGGAGTCGGTGCGAATCCCA